CACTGGCGCAAAGCCTAGCAGGCGTGGCACTCTCTCGACACCAAAGGGGGTGGGCAGGGGGCGGTCTCTCAGCTCGGCCGCTATCCACGACACTGGCGCAAAGCCTAGCAGGCGTGGCACTTTCTCGACACCACAGGGGGTGCGCAGGGGGTGGTCTCTCAGCTCGGCCCTATCCACGACACTGGCGCAAAGCCTAGCAGGCGTGGCACTCTCTCGACACCAAAGGGGGTGGGCAGGGGGTGGTCTCTCAGCTCGGCCGCTATCCACGACACTGGCGCAAAGGCTAGCAGGCGTGGCACTTTCTCGACACCACAGGGGGTGCGCAGGGGGTGGTCTCTCAGCTCGGCCGCTATCCACGACACTGGCGCAAAGCCTAGCAGGCGTGGCACTTTCTCGACACCACAGGGGGTGCGCAGGGGGTGGTCTCTCAGCTCGGCCGCTATCCACGACACTGGCGCAAAGCCTAGCAGGCGTGGCACTTTCTCGACACCAAAGGGGGTGGGCAGGGGGTGGTCTCTCAGCTCGGCCGCTATCCACGACACTGGCGCAAAGCCTAGCAGGCGTGGCACTTTCTCGACACCAAAGGGGGTGGGCAGGGGGTGGTCTCTCAGCTCGGCCGCTATCCACGACACTGGCGCAAAGCCTAGCAGGCGTGGCACTTTCTCGACACCACAGGGGGTGGGCAGGGGGTGGTCTCTCAGCTCGGCCGCTATCCACGACACTGGCGCAAAGCCTAGCAAGCGTGGCACTTTCTCGACACCACAGGGGGTGCGCAGGGGGTGGTCTCTCAGCTCGGCCGCTATCCACGACACTGGCGCAAAGCCTAGCAGGCGTGGCACTTTCTCGACACCACAGGGGGTGCGCAGGGGGTGGTCTCTCAGCTCGGCCGCTATCCACGACACTGGCGCAAACCTAGCAGGCGTGGCACTTTCTCGACACCACAGGGGGTGCGCAGGGGGTGGTCTCTCAGCTCGGTCGCTATCCACGACACTGTCGCAAAGCCTAGCAGGCGTGGCACTTTCTCGACACCACAGGGGGTGCGCAGGGGGTGGTCTCTCAGCTCGGCCGCTATCCACGACACTGTCGCAAAACCTAGCAGGCGTGGCACTTTCGCGACACCACAGGGGGTGCGCAGGGGGTGGTCTCTCAGCTCGGCCGCCATCCACGACACTGGCGCAAAGCCTAGCAGGCGTGGCACTTTCTCGACACCAAAGGGGGTGGGCAGGGGGTGGTCTCTCAGCTCGGCCGCTATCCACGACACTGGCGCAAAGCTTTGCAGCCGTGGCATTTTCTCGGCACCACAGAGGGTGCGCAGGGGGTGGTCCCTCACCGCGGCCGCTGGCTGGCTCGAATCTGTCCTCGATGGAGGATAGAAGGCTAGGAAGAGTGAGGAGGTTCAAGCAATATGGCGTTGGATGACACAGAGGGGAACATTCGCGACGAGGGCTGAGAACGCAGAATTGCGCATATATGATAAACTCAAGCAAGCACATAAGATTTAAATTAAGTATGTGGGGTTCCTCGGTAGCGTAATTTTTATTCATTTGCCGATCGGCGCGGGCCTTCGCAATCCCCCCCATGGAGTGGATCTTGGCTGTTTTTTGGCGCCTGTTTCGACCGGGCGGAGTCCCTCCCCCATAGGACGCACTGTTGCAAACAGTCGCACTCAGCAGAGGTCCAGAGCCAGACCCTCCCCCCCTTCCGCCCAATGTCGAAACGCCGGAAATTAGCTTGGCGAAGGACCCAACCATATGCAGCTGCGAGTACCGCACGGATATGAGACGAAGGAGGGGGCACGCAAACTAGGCCCCTCTTCTCATAGGCACCGCGCCACTGGGGCCTTCGGTGGAGCTCCCTATGGGGCCACGAAACGTGTGAAGGGTGTGCCGAAATGGGTGGTGGGGAGGCATGCGGACCCTGCCACTGGGGCCTTCGGTGGAGCTCCCTATGGGGCCACGAAACGTGTGAGGGGTGTGCCGAAATGGGGTGGTGGGAGGCATGCGAACGCAGCCACTGGGGCCTTCGGTGGAGCTCCCTATGGGGCCACGAAACGTGTGAGGGGTGTGCCGAAATGGGTGGTGGGGAGCCACTGGGGCCTTCGGTGGAGCTCCCTATGGGGCCACGAAACGTATGAGGGGTGTGCCGAAATGGGTGGTGGGGACGCATGCGAACGCAACCACTGGGGCCCCTTCGGTGGAGCTCCCTATGGGGCCACGAAACGTGTGAGGGGTGGGCCGAAATGGGCGAGGGGCGGCATGCCAACTCTGCCACTGGGGCCTTCGGTGGAGCTCATTATGGGGCCACGAAACGTGTCAAGGGTGTGTCGACATGGGTGGCGCGGACGCATGCGAACCCTGCCACTGGGGCCGTCGGTGGAACTCCCAATGGGGCCACGAAACGTGTGAGGGGTGTGCAAAAGTGGGTGGGGGCGGCATGCGAACCCTGCCACGGGGGCCTTCGGTAGAGCACCCTATGGGGCCACGAAATGCGTGAGGGGTGTGCCAAAGTGGGGTGGGGGCGGCATGCGAACCCTGCCACTGGGGCCGTCGGTGGAGCTCCCTATGGGGCCACGAAACGTGTGAGGGGTGTGCCAAAGTGAGATGGGGGCGGCATGCGAACCCTGCCACTGGGGCCTTCGGTGGAGCTCCCTATGAGGCCACGAAACGTGTGAGGGGTGTGCCAAAGTGGGGCGGGGGCGGCATGCGAACCCTGCCACTGGGGCCTTCGGTGGAGCTACCTATGGGGCCACGAAACGCGTGAGGGGTGTGCCAAAGTGAGGTGGGGGCGGCATGCGAACCCTGCCACTGGGGCCTTCGGTGGAGCTACCTATGGGGCCACGAAATGCGTGAGGGGTGTGCCAAAGTGGGGTGGGGGCGGCATGCAAACCCTGCCACTGGGGCAGTCGGTGGAGCTCCCTGTGGGGCCACGAAACGTGTGAGGGGTGTGCCAAAGTGAGGTGGGGGCGGCATGCGAACCCTGCCACTCTTCGGTGGAGCTCCCTGTGGGGCCACGAAACGTGTGAGGGGTGTGCCAAAGTGAGGTGGGGGCGGCATGCGAACCCTGCCACTGGGGCCTTCGGTGGAGCTACCTATGGGGCCACGAAACGTGTGAGGGGTGTGCCAAAGTGGGGTGGGGGCGGCATGCGAACCCTGCCACTGGGGCCTTCGGTGGAGCTCCCTATGGGGCCACGAAACGTGTGAGGGGTGTGCGGAAATGGGAACTAATGGCGATGGCGATGATGATGATGATGATGATGATGATGATGATGATGATGATGATGATGATGATGATGATGATGATGATGATGATGATGACGATGATGACGATGATGACGATGATGATGCTGGTGGTGATGACGGTGATGATGCTGGTGGTGATGATGACGAGGATGATGATGATGATGATGATGATGATGATGATGATGATGATGATGATGATGACGATGATGATGATGATGATGACGATGATGATGATGATGATGATGACGATGAGTATGATGACGGCGATGGGAGGAGGGAGGAAGGGGGAGAGGAGGAGAGGAGAGGAGAGGAGACGCGGGGCGCTGTCTCTTCAAAACGAGGACCCAACACCACAGGATGGTTGGGAATGAAAACGCTCACCCTCCCGCCTCCGTTAGATCCCTCTCAGGTCCCTCCTGGGGAGTCTCGGGCCCCTCTTGGGGGCGACCTGTCCCTCCATCCTCATTCGCCCCCTCCTCCTCCACTATCGCCTCCCCCTTTTGTTCATGCTCCTCCTCCTCATCCTCCTCCTTTTCCCCTCTCCCTCCTCCGCCATCGCCTTCCCCGTTGCTCATGTTCCTCTTCCTCCTCCGCCTCCTCCTCCTCCTCCTCCTGCTCCTCCTCCGCCTTTACTCATGTGAAAAAACTGCTCGCCTCTCTCCCCCGAAGACAGCCTGAAAGTTGCGCGCCCCCCTCCACGTACGATCCGCTTTCAAAACACAGGATGGGTCCGAGCTGGTCTTTTTTACGTGCTCCTCAAATCCGAACATTCTCGGTCTTTGCAAAATGATGCTCCCGCTGCAGCGGGGGCGCCTCATTTTAGGATCCAGCTTTGCTCCCGTCATTCAAAACGGCGCACTCTCGCCCCAACGCGGCCAACTCTCTCGTGGATCCGAGTCATGCATCATCTTCGTCGCCCCTCTCATTTCCCTTCCTCTTCCTTCCCCTAGTCCTCCTGCTCCTCCTGCTCCTTCCACTCCAGTTCCTGCTGCTGGTGTGCGTCAACGTCCGCATCATTCCTCATCCTCCTGCCCATCCTCCTGCTCATCCACCTCCTCCTCCTCCTCCTCCTCGTCCTCCTTCTCCTTCTCCTCCTCCTCCTCCTCCTCTTCCTCCCCCTCCTCCTTCTCCTCCTCCTCCGTACGCAGCTCCCCTTTTCCGATTGCACATGAAACGATACGGGGGTCGTTTTTGGAGTCCCAGGTCCGCTGTGACACGTGCCCTTGTTTGGGGAAAAGTCTGCGCAGTGGGAAGGGATGGGTGAGACGGGTGGGACGTCAGAGACAGTCGTTCCTCATAACAAGAGTGGGCAATCTTCCCAAGGGTACCGTTACATCCTTGCCTCCTCGGTGCATCCTTGGCCGCTTTTGTTGGCCGCGCCCCGCTCGAGAAGCTTCGAAATGGGCGTCCAAGGCCCTTGCATCCTTATCGCGCATCCTTGTGACACAGGCCCCGGCACTCATCCTCCTCCTCCTCCTCTTCCTCCTTCACCTCATACTCATACTCCCCCTCATACTCCCCCTCCTCATTCTCCTCCTCCTCCTCATTATTCTCCTCCTCCTACTCCTCCTCCTCCTTCTCCTCCTCATTTTCCTCCTCCTCCTCCTTCATCCTCTGCCATTTCCGTCTCCGCTAGGGTTCAAAAGTATCGTGGCGCGGGGTGTCCCCACCACGCAGGGATACTGCCAGTCTGCGGCAGTCAGAGAGCTTGCTCTCGGCACCCTTTTCGTGAGCTCCTGCAGGGGCTGCAGTCATGGCCAGGTCGCATGGCAGCGGCGGCTACACGATGTGCAGCGCCTGCGGGTACTGGGACTGGAACAACCGTTTCTGGAAGCAGAAGGGCTATTGCAGGTGCGGCAGCTGGGTCGGCTTGCCTGGCCGCAAGCAGCAGCAGCCGTCGCCCGCGCCGCCATGGTGGTCGGCTGGTCGGCAATGACAAGGCGCCGGGCCAAGCCGTGGAGGCGGCGCCCCAGCAGCACTTCGCCAACCGCCCTCCCGCGCCGACGTCTGTTGACAAGGCCCCGTCGCTGGCGGCAGCAGAGCGGCTCAAGACAGCCTCTTTCGAGCAGGAGCAGGTTGGCAAGAAGGTCGCGCGCTGCTGCTGGGAGCTGGCGACGGCGAAGCACAGGGTCCAGGAGGCGCAGGCGCGCCTCGACGCCCCGTGGAGGAGCATTTCCAGGCCACGATGGAGCACGAGGTGCCGGCCGCGGCTGTGGTGGGCAAGGACTTCCACGCACGCACTGCCCGAGCGCCTCGCCTTCAACCTGGACCCGTCCCTCTTCGCCGACATGGACGACGCCGACGAGGACTACATGACTGCTGTGGAGGCGCTCCAGTCAGCCAGGCGCTTGTGGCTGGAGGAGCAGGAGAAGGACTACAACACGCTCGCGGAGCGTGCCGAGCTGCGCGAGTCTGCGCGGCTGGAGGAGGAGGCCAAGTTCACTCAGGCACAGGAGGAGGTCACCCGCATCCAGAGCGGAAAGGCAGCGCGGCTCTCCCGCATGCAGCACGACCTCCAGGCCAAGGCGAAGCTCAGGCAGGCCGCCAAGAAGAGGAGGTCGGCTGAAGGAGCGGTGGTGGGCGGTGGCGCCGAGGCGGCGCATGCAGGCTCGGCAGCTGCGGCGGCTCCCAGCCTCTGCGCGGCCGAGTCGCCCGCGCCGCCCACCCCCGTGACTTCTGAGGCTGACGGCGCAGATGCCGACGCGGACATGGGATCCAAGGGAGTCGACGGTCCCGCTGCGGAGGCGTCCATGCCCGAGCCCTCCCTTGAACGCAAGGCCCAGCACCTCGCGCACACTGAGTCCGTGCGTGAGAAGGCCGCCAAGGGCCATGCTGAGCAGCTCGCGGCCAGGGCCAGCGCCAAGGCTAACGCTGCTGCTGGTCCTGCTGGGCCTACTGCTGCTGTCAAGTCAAGGGCGGCAGCAAGATCAAGTCGAAGTCGCGCGTTTGATCTGCGCATGGCGCACGCCCCAGGGGAGGCGGCATTGGCGTCGGAGCCGCTGACCCAGGAGGTGAAGGCCCGAGGACCTCTTCGTCTCGGGACCACAGACACCTCAGCGTTCTTTGCCAGCGCGGAGCGCTGGGGGACCCAGTCAGAGAGGTTCTTCGGTGAGCATTTTGACGATTACGGTGTGATGGCAGCTTTCGAGATTCATCTCAACGATCGGAAGCATATGGATGCAGTGCGCAACTTGTCACGCTCGGGCAGGCGGGCGTCTGGCGCAGCTGCGGGGAGTTCGGCGAAGTCGAGCACGGGCGCGAAAGGGGGCGAGCTGATCGCGGCCAGGTGCGATGTGGCGACCTCCTGGCTCAGTCGCTTGGCAGCTGCCGCCCAGAGGCCCCCCAGAGGCGAGGCTCGACGGGTTCGCGACGCTGACGATGCACCTCGAGCAAGGCAATCTAGTGGACGCGGCGGCGCATTCTTTCCCTGGTTGCGGCATGAGCGGAGCCAACCGACGCAGGTTCCAATCGCTGGCCGTTTTCCTCGCCAGCCTGGCGGACCCGTGGGTCGCGCTGGCCGAATTGAACGCCACGCCTGAGGAACTCATGCGCACGGGGTTCCCGCAGAAGGTGCCCGGCGAGCTGCCGCCCCCCCTGACGCGGAGGCCGCCTGCTGTAACGGCAGCGGCAGGCTCATCGTTTACGGCTTGCGCTCGCACGGCGCGGGCGACCTGGTCGAGCTGGAGGCGGTGCTGGGCGCGCCCTGGCAGGGGCACGCGGGGCCGCGGCTGCGGGCGGCCAGAGGCGGGCGTCGTCGGGCGCGTCGGCGGCCGGTCGCCCCGCCGGCAATCCCGACGCCGCCGAGGCCCAGTCAGCAGTCCGACCCAGAGTCGAAGGCCAGCAAGCGGCGCGCTACCGCTCTGGCTCGGCGCCGCGACGCGTTGGCAGCGCACCTGCAGGCCGACTTCGCGGCGATGCAGTCTGAGTCGGACGCGGCGCTGCTGGCTGCTCGCGCGGAGGCCGAGGCCCGCGAGGCGGCGGTGCTGGACGATTGCGGCCCCAGCGTGGAGTCCTTCGGCGGGGGCGAGCTCGGCGGCTCCGCGGGCGCCGAGCATCAGGGCACCTCCGGTGCCGGGCAGGAGGCGGCCGCGGCCGGGCAGGGGCCGCAGGGCGCCGCGCCCCAAGGCCCACGTCGTGGGACAGACAGTTGGCCGCAGCCTGTGATAAATTGCGGCGGCGACGGACGTGCGACGACGGCGCCTTCATCCAGCCTAGCGCCCAGGCCCAGAGCATCCACTACGACGCGCGCTTCGGGGTGCTCAGGGCGGACGCTGGGCTGGGCGTGCGTGCTGAGGACGGCGCCCGTGCTGCTGCGGCTTGGGAGGACTGCGGGCCTGGCGATGACTTCCTCGGCGTGGGCATGGGCGTACCGGGCCTCGCGCGGGCTCCCAGTCTGCCTCGCCCTGCCGAGGCGGGGCAGCGGGCCGCTGGGCGCGGGCGCGGGCCGCGGGCGCTGCTTGGGGGGGGCCGCGCGCAGCCGCCCCCAAGGTACAAGACGCTGGCCCCACAGTAGGCCGCAGCCTGCGATAAATTGCGGCAGCGGGCGGCAGGCGCCAGCACCGACTTCCAGCGCGCTCGACCCCGCAACATGCGAGCCATTGTCCTCGGCGGCTGTAAGGCCTCCCAGGGGGCAGCCTGTGGGGAGTCGCCTGAATATTTTGTGCCGTCCGAGTCTGGGCGCTCTGCGAGGTCGGATCCCACGAGGACGGGCGTCTGGAACATGACCGTGGAGCGGCTGGCGGCTGGGTGCGCATCGCCTGGTGCGCATGGCACGCGATGATGAGTCCGTCATCAGCGCGCGCCGTGCCAGCTGGGTCTCCAAGGCCGAGGAGGTGCTCCTGGAGCCCAGCGAGGTGCCTGACGGCGAGCGCAGTCAGCATCGTAGTCGCGCGGCTGGCAACGACTTCCGCTGGCCCCCGCTCAAGCCATCGCCTGGTCGCACGCATCTGCGACATCGGGCGTCTGGGCACTGGGCGGTGGCGCCGGCAATGCTGAGGCAGATTGCACGCATCCGTCGGCAGAGCACTGTCGGCAGGGGCCAGCAGGACCGCTGTCTGGAGGTGCTGCTGCGTGGGGCGGCCAACATCACGATGCACACGGCTGGCCACTTTCCTCGAGCTGCAGAGCCTGAAGTTCCGCCTGCATGGGATCCCATGGTCAACGGCGCCCAGGAGATCCACGCCGAGGAGCTGGGCGTCATGGCGGCAGGGGCGGAGCGCTTCGCCATCGATGCGCAGGCGCGCGCCGCGGGGCAGCACCGCCGTGAGTTCGCGGCGCGGGCGCGCAAGATGCGGAAGGAGAAGCTCGGCGCCCTCCCTTCAGGCGGGCGCGTGATCCCGCGCCCTTGGCGCAGGAGCTGGCGGTGGGCGGCGTGCCCGTGACGGTGCCGAGCCATGCGATGAGTCAGAAGGCCGCTCGCTGGGGCGGCCGGCGGCGCGCCCCCTCGGACTCCTGGTCTGACCTCGCGGCGGCCCTCCAGGGGGCGAAGCGTCGGGTCAGGGAGTCCCCGCTGGAGCCGCTCGGGCGCAGCAGCATCGACCTGGCCGCGTGGGTTCAGGGCTCCAAGAGGGCGAGGGGCGTCGATGGCCCCGGCTCGGGCGATCTTGAGAGGCCGCCGCCCGAGGGCTGCGAAGAGCTGCGGCCCCTGCTGGCGCGCTGCGAGGAGAAGTGCTGCTGGCCACGGCGGCGGCTGGGAGTCGCCGGCGGTGCGCCCCCCCAAGAGGGCAGGTGGCGAGCACATCATCGGCCTCTTGCCGCTGGCGCCGAAGATCTGGCCCCGCGCGCGCCCTTCGGTCACGTCCGCTTGGGCTGAGGAGCCGCGCGCTTTCTGGGGCACTGCTGTCCGCGGCTCCAGCGCGCTGCGAGCGGCGCTGGTGCGCAGCCTCCTCGAGGAGACGGGCATCGAGCTGACGGTGGCGGCCGCTGCCCTCCTGATGCGGAGACCTTCTACGACGCGGTGTCCCTGGTCAAGCTGATGGCCATCGCGGAGCGGCTGAGGTACCCAGCAGTGGTGGTGGCCCTGGAGGTGCAGTTGTTCCTGGCTCCGCGCTACCTGAGGAACAGCCACCACGGGTACTCCATGCAGGTGGAGGCGACCCGCTCCGTCGTGGCGGTGTCGGCGCATGGGGTGCCCCTCGGCAAGCTGGACCTCCACCCGCTCCTACAGCAAGCTCATGCGATGCGCCCGCGTGCTGGCCTCTGGAGCATCATCGGTGACACCGCCATCCGCTGCGAGGGGTCTGCCAAGTCCTCGGAGGAGGAGCTTCCCCGCATGGCCAAGGTGCTCAAGGATGGCATGGACGCGGCGCAGGGGCTCATCTGCTCGTCCAGGACGGTGCTCGCGGCGCCCAGCAGCGAGCTGGCAGCCAACCTGTCGGACAGTCTCGTCGCCATGGGCATTCCGCACTCGGCGTCGAACAAGGCGGTGGACCTCGGCATCGACGCCGCGTTCTGGGCGCGCCCGATGGCGGAGGGCGTTGACGAGTGGAGGCTGGCGGGCGCCGAGGACGATAGCATCCGCGCGCGCGCCGACTTCGGCGGGGCGCTTCAGGACGCCGAGGAGGACCTCAGGCACCAGCTGTGGCGGTCTGCGGCGTCGCACCTGCACGGGGGCGACCTCGTCGGTGGCGCTGGCTTCCTGCACATCGGCCGCGAGCTCAAGATGCTGGAGCGCGAGGCTCGGCGCGCGGAGTGGGGTCTCACCCGCGCTGTTGTCTTTGGCGGCCAGTGGGCGAGATCCCGTCGAGTTGCTGCTGCGCGCGGCGCGGCTGCGCGGACGAGACACTGGCGCACGGGATCTGGCAGTGTCCTGCGAATGCGGGTGAGGATCTCGAGTCCACGGCTGCCCTTTCGCCTCGGGCGCTCGCTGGACACGAGGCATCGTCTGCCATGTGGTTGCGCTGGGCGCCTGCCCCGCGCGCGACCACCCCCGTCTGCTGCGACCAGAGGGCGGAGCAGGCCGCGGCGCCCCTCGGCGCGGACAGCGCCCTGGGGTCGACGCGGCGCGACGGCGGCTTCGCGGCGGTTTACGGCGACGGCTCTCGCGGGAAGTTATCCGACGACCCGCGGCGCAGGCGCTGCGCCACCAGCATCGCGGCCATGGGCCCGGACGAGGACGGGTTGTGGACCGACCTGCGCTGGTTTTGTGTTGCACCCGTCCCTGGCAGACGGCAGACGGCACCGCTCGCGGAGATCCTCGGTTTCGCGCTGGCGCTGGAGTCCGTCTGCGGCAACATCAGGTACGTGACTTACCACAAGCCCCTCTGGCGGTGCTGGGAACGGAAGATGTCGTCCGCGCTGCTTGGCGGTGCCAACGAGGACCTCTGGCAACGTGCACGCCAGGCGTGGCGGGACAGGCCTCCTGGCGCGATCGAGGTGGCATGGGCCCCCCACACACACACACACACACGCACGCACGCACGCACGCACGCACGCACACACACACACACACACACACACACACACACACACACACACACACACACACACACACACACACACACACACACACACACACACACAAACACACACACACGCACACGCACACGCGCACGGAGGGGCCCGCCCAAGCTGCCAATCATCCAGCACAATTTATACGCGTGCCCCCCATCCTCTGTGCCATGAGCGCCAAAGCCTCGTCTGCCTTGCCTGCGGGCGCACGGCCTACACAGACAGCACCCAACGGGCATTGGCGGGCTCAGCATGCACGCCGACCGTCCTGGGGCGCGAGCGGGCCCTCTCCGTCCTCGGGGCCGCGCCCGCGGCTGCAGGCCGCGCGCCGTCGGTGCCCCCCCCCCTGCCACCCCCCGCGCTGACGCCCGCGTGGCCGACGGGAGCCAGCGGGATGCCGGCTTCCAGGCCAAGGTGGCCTACATGCTGCACGCCGCCGGGGCGGCCGCGGAGGAGGGCGCCGACGCCGCCGTCGCCGCTGGGGCCGCCGAGGAGGGCGCCGATGCCGCCACCGGGGCCTACCTGTTGCACGCCTCCGGGGCGGGCGCCGAGGATGGCGCCGGCGCCGCCGAGGAGGGCGCCGTCGCCGACCCGGACTTGCCCGACGGCGCGGCGCACCCCGAGGCCGGCCTTGCTCAGCCGGCTGTTCCTGGCCCCATCCTTGGCCCCGCGGCGCGCGATGGGCAGGGCGGGAGAGATCGGTCCCGCGCGCCAGCTCGCGAGCTCGACGCTGGGCCGCATCCCGACGCTGGCCCCTCGGCGCCGCCGCCTGCCGATGGCGCGGAGCCCGGCGCAGGCGACGAGGCGACCAGCCCCGCCCAGCGGCTCGGAGAGGCCGCCGCTGGCGCGCTGATGGTCGCGGTCGCCGCGATCGGCGCGGCGCAGGCGGTGATGCCGGAGGACGTGGGCACGCCGCCCGCTCCCAGCCTGGTGCAGGGCCCCCCCGCGGGCTCCCTGGCGGCGGTGCCGCCTGCCTCAGCCCCGGCGCTCCCGCCCGCGCTGCGCGTGGCCGAGTCGGGCGCGGACTCAGCCAACTCCCGCGCGGACGGCGGCGACCTACCTGGGGCCGCCAACGCGGACGCCAGCCCCGCCCCGCGGATCGGGGGGGCCGCTGGGGGAGCGCCGGGGGCCGCCGGCCGCCCGCCCGCGGGCGCTGAGGACCGCATAATGTGCTGGAAGAGCGGCCAAGCCGCAGACGCCCGACGGCCCGGCGCTTGAGGCGCTCAGCCCAGCGCGTAAGCGCCCCAAGAGGTTGCCGCGGCCGCCCGCGCTGGCCCGATCCTGGCGGCGCTCGGCCCGATGCAAGAGAGGCTCGCGGCGCGCATCCGCGGCGCGGAGGCGCCCGCGCCGTCGGCCGCCTCGGCCAAGAGCGGGGCTCCGGTGAGCCGTCCCGCCGCGCGACCTGCCGTGGAGCCGAGCGGTGGCACGGCGCCCGAGGGGGCAACGCCTCCCTCCCGCCCACCTGCTCCTCCTGCTGCTGCTCTCGCCTGCGGGGAGGGGGAGTCGTCGTCGGGTGGAGCGGGGTGCGGGTTGGGAGGGACTGCGAGCGGCCCCGCCGGCGCCAGTGGTCCGCCTGCGTATGTGCCAGACCGTGGCCACGAGCTTGTCACGTGTTCGTTGTTTGTGGTCTGTCGTCGCTGCGGGGCCTACGTGCCCCGCGGGGCCAGGCGGCTCCAGAACGATTGCGCCGCGTGTCCTCCCCCTCCGGGAGTGCGACCCTGCCGAGAGAGAGCGGCGGCGACGTCGCGAGCGCCTCCTGGCAGGGATGCACCCCCGCACGGGTGCCAGCCTGAGCGGCGCCCCTCGCGGCCTCTAGGGGCCCTGGGGCGGGGTCTCTCTCGGTCCTGCTCGGTCGGCGGTCGGTCTGGGCGGCCCGCGTGGCTGGGGGGCCCTGGGGCCCCGTCGCCTGGGCTGGCACCTGCGCTTGCGTAGGGCTTAGGGCCTAAGCTGCCCGCGCTGGCCCCCCGGCCAACGCGCCTGGGAGTTATCCATCCTTGGCTTTTTCGGGAGGCCCTTGTGGCCTGCCACTCGGCCCAAGTGCTGAGTGGCCCTGGCGCCCAAGCGGTGCCGCACGGTGACGCGGGGACACGTTGCCATCTGGCCGAGTCGGCGGGTAGGCCCCACGGGGTCCCCTGCCGTCCTCTTATGGCGTTCCAACACACACGCACACGGAGGAGAAGGAGCACCTGCGGCTGCTGAGGTCGGAGACAGACTTCGAGCGGGCGCTGGGCAATGCCGCCGCCGATGCGCTCGCGAGCGTGACGGTTGCGGCTGGCTGGCGCCTGGGGCTCGCGGGGACTGAGCCGCGCACCGACGTGGTCGACGTTGAGGCTCGCATGGTCCGCAGAAGGGCCTGCAGGCCTTGGTGCTCGCGGCAGAGGCTGATCAGCTACTTGGAATTCGATGTCTGGGGCCGCGTCGGCCCCCTCGCTCTGCTGCCGCCGCTGCCTGCGCCACCTCGTCGCACGAGCTGCAGCAGTGTTGATCGGAGCGTTTGGTCTGCGCCAGCTGCTTGCGCGTGGCCAGTCAGAGCCAGCTGTTCTGTTTTGCGGCCACCGCATGCATGTGCAGGCCCTCCGCCGTCGGATGAGGGACGACGGTCGGGGCGCGGGGCGGATCGCCCGCGACTGTGGCCGCGGGCGCGCAGGCGCGTCGGCAGGGCGGGCCGGGCGTTTGGCCTGAGTTCTCTTCGCAGCGTAGGACCTTAAGGCTTGAAATTTGCACCAGCTTCACGGGTGGAGGGGTGGCTATTTTCAAATTGTTGTTCTCGCTTCAGCGCCGCGCACATTCGTTTTGAAGCATCACAGCAAACTCAGGGATGGAAGGGGGGGTATTTTTCAACGTGGTGCTCTCGCTTCAGCGCCGCGCACATTCGTCTTGAAATCTTACAACATTTCCGAGGACTGGGCATGGGTCGTTTTCAAAATGGTGCTCTCGCTTCAGCGCCGCGCGCAGTCGCTGTTTCAACGCATGTCAAAACGGGTGGAGGTCGGTTCTTTTGAAGATTGAATGGGGCTCTCGCTCGAGGCGTGGCTAAATTGCAATATAGTGAGTTCTAACACATGTAGCACTGGACGGGTCCAGGGCGGCTCTTTTTAGGTTTGGAGTTCTCGCTGGAGACTTCTTCGGACGCGGCCCTGTCTTCGACAAGTGAAGATCTTCGTTAGATACTTCGTTTTGCAGTGTGGTCATAGCTGTTTGTTGCGTTCCTGGCTACGCGCTGGAAGGGTGCAAGGCAGCTCCGTTTTTTCAGCGGGGCCCTGTTCAACATGGCAGACCCGATTGCGCTGGTCTTTCAAGGGGGCGCCTCTTGCAGTGGAATGGCAGGCTTGCAGGGACGCATAGGGGGAGGGGACTTGGGACGGGAGGATGTGCTGCTGGTCCTCCTCCTCCTCCTCCTCCTCCTCCTCCTCCTCCTCCCTCTCTTCCTTCTCCTCCTCCTCCTCCTCCTCCTCCTCCTCCTCCTCCCCCTCCTCCTAGCCGCTTTGGCCCAAGTGATTCTTGGGCTTGCAGCTGGCGTCTTCAGAGCGGTAATCGCAGCTGCGAGCCAACGGCTCGGTTTCAGGCCGAGGGGCCTCATCCCTCCAGTTTCCGCGTGCCCCTGCGCAGCCGCATGGGGCAAGACCCTGATGTCCTACCAGGCCCGAAGGCGCCGATGTGGGGCTGCCCCTCCTGCGGGCGCAACAGCAACTTCGCATCCCGCATCGAGTGCTTGTGCGGAAAGAAGGCTCCGCAGGCAATCATCGACAAGGCTAAGAAAGCAGCAGCGGAGCTCCAGTCGGGCCCCCATGGCAAGCCACCTCGTGCTCCTGGTGGCGCTTGGGCTCGTGGCCCTCCGCATGATGCTCCCAACTCTGTGGTGCGCTCCATCAGTGCACTGCAGAAGCAGATGGAATCCCTCGTCAAGCAGTTCGGCCAGCAGGCGGGCAGCCGCCCACAGGCCGCAGGCGCACCACCAGATGCTGCAGACGGAGGAGGCGCTGACACGGCCAGTGACGAGGCCACCAAAGGTCTGTCGGCCAAGATCAAGTCCTTGGAGAGCACCCTCCAAGGGATTCGAAGCGATGAGCAGTTCACTGCCGCCATCAAGCAAGCCATGGAGAAGGAGTTGGCTGATGCGCGCAAGGAGTTCAATTCTACCAAGCCCCCATTGTCGCGCCACACGGCGCTGGGCCATAAGTTGCAAAGGTCCAGCGCCAAGCTGGAGCGCCTCGACGAGGACATCAAGACCCAGCAGGCCCTCATCCAGGCGGCTCAGGCTGAGCTGCAGAGAATGGAGGAGAAAGCCAAGCTGGTCAGAGTGGAGATTGAAGCCACCAAGTTGGAGCTCCAGTCTACCATGGCGTAGGTGGCCCCGCCCAGTGCGATGCCAACATGCGTCTTGGACGCGGACGCGGTCAAGGATAAGCTCGAGGTGCAGCAGCTCATGGCCTCCCCGCAGTTCGCCGAATACCAGAAGTTGTTCGAGCAGCAGTGCCAGGCTCGGGCAGCCCAAGTTCCTCCTCCTCCTTCGGCCCCCGAGGGCTCGGGAGGGGTTCCGGGTGGCCCTGGTGCTCAAGGGGCCCGTGGAAATGCTGGGGGTGAGAATATCCCCACTCCCATGGACACGGATTTGGAAGATATTTCGGATGAAGGCATTGACAAACTTATCGAAGCTGCCAGGTCAGAGGGCGATAATAAGCGTGCCTTTGGGGATCTTCTCAAGCAACTGGGTGTTCAGGCTAAGAAACAAAAGTGTGGGTGACACTATGTTCGGCGGCCCAGCTCCCAAGTGTTGCGGCATTCCTCTCTCCTGCACAAGTGCTCCCGTCCCACCTCTGAAGGGAGCCCCGTCCAGGTCCAATACTGAGATTGGGCAGTATTCGGTTGAGAGTTTCAACGGTTCCTGCTGGGCCACGCTCAAGCGGCGCTTGCGCGAGAGCTCGGCGATTCTTCTTTGTGCGCAGGAGGCCGGCACCAGTGTGGACTTCATCGGCAGGGCCAGCGACAAGGCACGACGTCTTGGCTGGCATGCGCTTTTTGCCCCAAGCTACCTCAACCCAGAGACAGGTAAGGTTTCTGCAGGTGTTGCTATTTTTGGAAGATTGAGTATTGGTATCAGATGGCCTCCTGAAGGTGAGACTCCAGTGGCGCCCCATCGTGTACTCAAAGTTTTGGTTGATTTCCCTGGATGGCCGACGTTATCGCTTTTCTCGGTTTACTTTAAGTCGGCGGAAGGCCTAGGGCCCATCAACACGGCTCTGCTGGCCCAGTTGGGGCCGGCTATCTCGGACCCGACCCATTCGATCGTGGCCGGCGATTTCAACATGTCTCCTGAGTTCTGGAAGGATCTGGGTTCGTTCGGAAGTTAGGTGTGCTCACGATGGCCCCGACGATGCCCACATGCAGGTCCCCGACTTCCAGTTCGATTATTGATTTCTTCTTGGTAGGTCCTGGAGCGGCTCGGCTGGTCCAAGGGGTTGCTGCTGACACATCTTGGGAGATCAAGCCTCATCGTCCCGTGTCTCAAGCTATTCGCCCAGATGCGTTGACGGTCAAGCAGCTGGTCTACCGCAGCTTCCAGAAGTTACCCCTAGAGCTACCTTTTGGGCCTCGCCCTGCTGAGGGATGTTGGGACGGTGCCCGTCACCTTGCAGCGCATGCAGTTGCACATGCGCGTCGCAGCCCTGCAGGCGAGGCTTGGGCATGCCTGAATGCCGCGTGGCGCTTCTTCGTCGATTGTGCAGAACTTGAGCTGGTGAGATTTTTGGGAGTGGAGTCCAAGGTCTTGGGGGAGCGTGGGAATACCATCAAGGCCTCATGGGCCCCAGTGTTCTACAGGCCGAAACTTGCAGATGATCAGCTCCAGGTCTGTTCAGGATGGCGATGGCTCTATCATGCTTTTGCTGAATTTTTACTGGCCACCGAGAGCCTCGCTGATGGCGAGTACCAGGCAGCGATCCTCAAGGTTTCGCTGCAGCACTCATGCCCAGGGGGAGGTCTCAACATCCGATTGGATACCTCCCTCCGTGAGATGAGGCAACTTGCGTCTGAATGGCGTTCAGACCTTCCCTGCCTGCACGAGTGGCGCGCGAGAGCTGATTTCATCTTGGATGCTATTGCCGAGGACCTCTCAGATGCCAATGACTTAGGGGGCAAGCTCCAAAAGCAGTCGTGGGATACCTGGCAAAAGGAAGCCCTTGCAGGGTCGGCTCGGATGATGCATCGTTTCGCGAAAC